GAGAAACCAGGGAATTCATTTTTTTTAAAAGATTTCTTGAATACGCAGGCCGATAGACGTAATACACATTATTTAGAGTAAAAAGGAAAGTGGGGCGTCTATTTCAAATAATAGTATCTTCTACAATAACGTTTAATGTAATACAATAATTAAAATAAATCCATTAATTCTATATATATATATATATATATATATATATATATATATATGTGTGTGTGTGTGTGTGTGTGTGTGTGTGTGTGTGTGTGTGTATATATATATATATATATATATATGCTTGTGTGTGCGTGCGTGTGCGTGTGGAATTTTGCTATCGCTATATAATTTTTTAATTTATGATATAAAGCTTGACACGTGTTCTAAGAATGATGTAATCTCAAAGTGAAACAATGTATACTGGTGGGGAACAAAACTGGAAAAATGTGAAAAGGTTGAAGAAAAAAATCATATGCTACTACTAATACCACTACTACTACTACTACTAGTACTACTACTACTACTACTACTACTAATAATAATAATAATAACTGAAATCATCATCAAAGGAAGAAATCGGGCTTTATTAACAAAAAGAGTTGAAAAAATAGACGAAGCAAGAAAAATTGATTGACGAGCAAGAAATTATTTGAAGAAGTTTTTTTTTTACGAATGTAAAAAACAGATAAGATGTAACTTTTTAAGAACAATTGATCGATTGATTGATTTGATTTTTACGGCTTATCAACCCCAATTATTGGACTTTTTTTTGTATATTTAGATGCTTTAAGCTAATGATTATATTCATCCATAACAATGCTTTTCCTTATCCAATCCACCTTGCCAAAAGCTATCTCAAAGACACCAAATTAATGTAATGTCTGGGTGTCACTCAGATATTAATTCAAGTGAAAACTTGTGGTTAAGGTGTATAAAAAAAAAAAGCCCCCATGATTTCTGGGAAGAAATAGAAACTACTGCAAATAACATTAAAAGCGAAAGAGTTGTAAAGTAAAAATATCAATGAGTCCAAAATAATATAATAACGTATCCGAGTATTTCCGTCGACTAGGGCGACTATCCAATCCTTGTTGCAGGCGCCTGCTCAGGCGCATTTATGTTTATTCAACACCCACCTGTGGTTTATACTGCAACTATATTAAGCGTACCTTAGTTATACTTTCTATAAGAGATCGCATTATCTGGCTTTATCAACAGTCTGAACAATTCCAGTAGACTCAACCCCTCGGGCACGATGACTTGAGATTTCGTGCTAGCACACAACCATTGGCGTTTCTCAAATAGTGCCGTCTAAACAATTCCACTCACAAGTCTTAATTTTACTTTCAAACACGCGGAGATTGCCTCCCCAGGTATTTACCTTCCTGACAAATTGTGAGATTCGAACTATATATATAAGTTTATAAGCAGTAAATTCGACCTTGCCTACCGAACGATCCTTTGTGGCCGATCGGTAAGGCACGTCAGCGTAAATGACGGTTCCGTATAGGATGCAGGTTCGAATCCTGTCAAAGGACGAATATTTTCTATGAAAATTTCTGAGGACATTCAGGCCGTTAAATGTTATTTAATACTGTTTATTATAAACAGAGCATTTACTCAAATACTTGTATCTATAAAAAAGAACGTTAAACATAAAAATGTCTTTAATAAATAAATTGTCGGACTTTGTCCATTTCTTAATATATATATATATATATTTGTATATTTAGGCAGCAATCCCTCCTTTATGCATGTTTCATTAAAACGACAGACAAGGTACTACGGTTGGCTTTTTTATTTAATTTTTTCTTGTGTTCTGACAAGAGCTTTCTTTTCTGGACAAAGAGTGTGTAAGAACTGTCCGAATGTTCTGTGTTTCCGAGCGCTTTCGGCTATACCTTTAGCCATTATCAAGGATGATTCAATTATGAGCTTAGTAGAGTGTGTGTGTACTGTGTATGTTCAGTGTGTGGTAGTGATGTTTTTAGTTTCCGAATACGGTTAGCACGGACAGTTCTTACACACTCTTTGTCCAGAAAAGAAAGCTCTTGTCAGAACACAAGAAAAATTAAATAAAAAGCTCAATCGTAGTACCTTGTCTGTCGTTTTTGAAACATGCATCTATATATATATATATATATATATATATATATATATATATATATATATATATATTAACATATAGAACAATAATATCATATATTCAAGTATATAGAAAAATGGATGAATCAAGTTCAAGTGTCTAAAAGTTTACGGTACCGGCCCGGAAAAGTGATGTAACAACGGGGCGGTGACAAAAATGATAGGCAGCCAGAGACTGGCATTGGCACATCTGAACTGTAACATCCACCACACACACCCATTGTACCTGAAGTGTATCATGCCTTCACTTTACAGTGTCCACCGCTTATATAATAATTATTATGGGAAATACTAAGGTACTCATTAGACATGCAAGAGTAACACCTAGAATATCCTATAATCCGATATTGGGGAGAGTTCTTAGGTTTATACTTTGGCACACAAGAGTGTGTCAACCCCAACACGTTTGGGAACCGCTGGTCTAAGGCCTATATCCTTTGGATTTGTGCATAAAAACAGAATATAGCATATTTTGTAACAAATTATTAACAAAATTTTGAATAAAGGTCGATGTTACATAGTGAAATTCATCAAGCTTCTTGCTTATCGAAATATATATATATATATAGCTGGAACCGTTAGTAACATTGTTTCGTTCTTATCGATTTTATTACGAAAAAAATTAACATCATATACAGAAATATTTTTATATTATGTCTCTTCTGGATCAGGGATCCCTTTTCTTTATTATCTGTGAATGGACATGGCTTTTTGAAAAATATAGAGTGTGCTTTCCTGTTGCTTTCTCTATGGTTTTCAATTCAGTCTACTTACTTCTCAATGCTAGAGATCTCAGTTAACGCTGCTATTAAACCCATAACTTGGAGGCAGGTGACAATTGATGGACTGACATGCTTTTCATAAGTGCGAAAGCGAACGCAACAGAAAAGGCAAGAATTTTCCGATACCATTTCTCGTACCGATGATCGTTATGTTACTTGCACATCACAGAGGAATAAGACCTAAAAAAAATAATCTGATGAATATTTTAAGTAACTGAATTTTAGTTATCTGACGTAGGGGCTTTATATTCGTTAATTGCTAAAATATATCTCGAAAAGATGCGCTCTAATTCGATAAATTTGGAATCGGTTTTCCGTAATTCTATTTAACTGATCACAAACCCAATGACCGCAAAATATTCGAATTATGGTAATCCACTCGATACAATGTACTTGTAAAATCTTTCTAACTTTCACCTGCTCTAGAAGTTAACACAGTTAAATCACTGAAAACAATGGCAGTAATGAAAACTTGGGAATCGAACATTTCAGGAATGTGGGTCTGGATCTGGCCCGGAATGTTTCTAATTTGCTCACGGAGTCGGCCTGATTCCAAAATGGTATGCTGGGCTACAGCCTCTAGGAGTAAAGTTAAAAACACGGACAATTTTATTTTGAAGCACTGTAATTTCAGAACAGTAATTTTTTATTTGAACATGAGCTATTGAAAGTTAGAGGGTTGTGCCCCTTTAAATATTTTTATCAGTAGAAGCCAAGATGGCGGAATCTGAAATCAGTAATGAAAACTTGGGAATCCAAAATGTCAGGATTGCGGGCCTGGATCCGGCCCGGAATATTTCAGATTTGCTCACGGAGTCGGCTTGATACAAAAATGGGTATGATACATTGGACTACGGAGTGTAAGAGTAAAGTTGAAAAAGTGTGACACAATGATACACTGACATTCACATTTATTATATAGAAGAAGTAATTGAAATTTCTGGGCTATATAATGAGGAATGATGGTGTGGGGAATTTCATACCCACAGGGCATTATTAAAACAAGAGTAGCAGATGGAATCATCAAAATAACTTGCTTAATAAACTTGGATAAATGAATAACAGAACAAGAACTGAGAATGACAATCAGGGAAGAAATATTGCTTACAAAAGATAAGAAATTGTGGAGAGCCATGACTGCTTACGTTCTGAAGGGAAACAATATATAAAACAAGAAAACGTTAACCGGGTGTATGGGTATTCAATTTGTTTAAATAAGCTTTTATTATTTATTTATGAACATGTAGACCCAACCCTTGGAGCATGACACCACTGCCTGACGACGCTAGGTGATAGTCCTTTGCTCTCAGGGGCGAGTAGATTTTTACGGAATTTTTAATTCAGACTTTACCTTCTCATAGACTGGTTTATAACAAAGGCTAGGAAGTCCAACCTTCCCTGCTTTTTAGCTCATAGCTGGTGCGAAATTGAAATTAAATGCTTCTAATTTGAACGCTTTACACGTTGATAACGATACGAGCCTTTTCTCCTTTGGTGAGCCTATTTGGCTATATTCATTGCCTTAAAATTAAACTCATTCAGTAAAAGGATCCAGAGAAGCGATAGAAATAAATGTTTCATATTTATGTTTTAAATGACATTTTATTTGAAACAATGAAAATGTTGCGAAAAAAAAAAAGAAAGCCTTACAAAAATGGTAAATATACATAAAAAAACTTAGTTGAAAACGCGTTTTGTTCATATATTTTTTCAATCCAAAATAATTATCATACAATTAAAAGAGATTCATTAGTTAAAGTTTATGATGCCTATTCTTTATAATGAAAGCATTTAATTAATTTTCGATGTATAACCAAAAACAGTTCTTATTTTCCTATTACGAAAGTGTTTACACACGGTGTGCAGAAGTTTATAATTCCTATATTTCGCTTTGACTGATTAAAATTAATGATGTGTATTAAAAAAAAAATCTACAAATTTTTTCAACAGTAATGTCAGTAAAGTTCCCTGTTTTTAAGCATTTTTAAACGCTTCAAATAAGGCGGACAAATTCTGATGTAAATCATTCATAAGATATTTTTTTAAAATATTCAGTCAACTTACAAAAAATAACCAAAGGTTTTCGACAATCAAAACATGCATCGAGTTTTTAATCTTGATCTACGAATTTCAATCTATCTATCTATCTATCTAGCTATGTTTCATTCTCTCTCTCTCTCTCTCTCACACACACACATACTCTCTCTAAATATGTATATCATTTTGTTAATACAGTGTAACCCGGATATAAGAGAGTTGTCGGGACCGGAGAAGAAGTCTCTTATATCCGGGTTTCTCTTATATCCGGGTTTGGTCTATTTTATATACATTAACACAGGCTCTAATTTGGGACCAGAGAAAATCTCTCTTATATCCGGGTCTCTTATATCCGGGTTACAATCTATCTATCTATCTATCTATCTATCTATCTATCTATCTATCTATCTGTCTGTCTATCTATCTAAATAATTTTGATAATAATTATCTATCTATCTATCTATCTATCTATCTATCTATCTATCTATCTGTTCACCCTCGCTGTCATTTTCATTCTTTCTTATTTCTTTCTATTTAAATGTTAATTATATTAATATATATTTATCTACTTATGTCAGTTTCTATCTATCTATCTATCTATCTATCTATCTATCTATCTATCTATCTATCTATCTATGTTTTTCTCTCTATTTGTGATGTTCTCTTTTCTTTCTTTCTTTCTTCCTTTCTTTCTTTCTTTCTTTCTTTCTTTCTTTCTTTCTGCTTCTTTTAATAGATATTTGTTTATTTATGTTTTACTTTCATTTTTCTATCTATCTATTTCTCTAATTTTATTTTTATCTATTCATCTATTTCGGTCAGTTTTTTATCTATCTATCTATTATTATTATCTATCTATCTATCTATCTATCTATCTATCTATCTATCTATCTATCTATCTATCTGTCACTCCCGCTGTCATTTTCTTTCTATCTTTCTTTTTTCTTTCTATGTATTTCTTAAATATATTTATATCTATGTCAGTATCTATCTGTCTATCTATCTATCTATCTATCTATGTTTTTCCTCTATTTGTGATGTTCTCTTTTCTTTCTTTCTTTCTTTCTTTCTTTCTTCCTTTCTTTCTTTCTTTCTTTCTTTCTTTCTGCTTTTTTTAATAGATATCTGTTTATTTATTTTTTACTTTCATTTTTCTATCTATCTATTTCTATAATTTTATTTTTATCTATTTATCTAACTATTACGGTCAGTTCTATCTATCTATCTATCTATCTATCTATCTATCTATCTATCTATCTATCTATCTATCTATCTATTTCAGTTTATGAATGTACATTAAGTTTTGTTTTCTGAGAAATGTAGTGATAATATATGCAAGTTTGTGTCGATATATTCCTGTCTCGTGTTCAATTACCTTACAGTGATATCAACCTGATGACGTCACTCGAGTCTTCTGCAACGAATTGTGTGCGTACATCTACATTCCGGTGAGTGCGTACCTGCGCGTGTGCGCGTGACTTTAATTCTACAAGTGTAACCGGAGAGCAGAATTATTAAATATCCCGTTAGGGCGAAAAGCACGGGGAGACGTGCAAAGTGACACCATCTCGCTCTAACCATTTAAATTACACGATAATCACTACCTGTCTATTTATTTCTGCATTAAATTTACGTATCTACTTATATATATATATATATATATATATATATATATATATATATATATATATATATATATATATATATATATTCACAATTTAAACACACTTAGTACATTGTTTCTCATGTTTATTTAGTTCTTCAAAGTTTCTGATATTTGGTCAGAGATGAGAATATATATATATATATATATATATATATATATATATATATATATATATATATATGTTTCGTTAAATAACTTGTGACATTTTCATTTAATATTTCTTGGGCCCTCACTAATTTTATATTTTGAGGACTGGGTGTGTGAAAAAATTGTCCACTGTGTGTTTTTTCCGAGTTAGGCATTTTTTAAGTGGGTTAATTTTTGTGGTAACGAGGATTATTAATACATGCATACATACAGACAGACAGACAGACAGACAGATAGATAGATAGATAGATAGATAGATAGATAGATAGATAGATTCATTTCATGTTTTGGTTTTGTTGATTGTATTCTTAGTTATATACATAGATAGATATATATATCTAGCTAGCTAGCGACATATATATATATATATATATATATATATACATATATATATATATTGCTAGCTATATATTCATATATAGTCATCTATATATATATATATATATATATATAGTCATCTATATATATATTTATATATATATATTTCTCTCTATATATATTTATATACATTTATATATTTACGTATTTGTTTATATATATATATATATATATATATATATATTTATAGAAAGAGAGAGAGAAAGTGTGAGAGAGATATAGAGATATAAGCTTACTTGAAGTTCAGCATTATTATTTTTTTTTATTTTGTGAGCATCTTCACTTTTCTTTTACTGGTATTTAAATCCTAGTTAATCTGTTTTCGCGTCTTACTCAAATGTAGTCATGCCATACAGTAATCTTTATAATTTCTGTCCTCATTTTATATGTTACAAGAAATATTGAAAGCATCATGGATAGTAACTCAAAAAACTGTGGAGACATGCTCTACATTTGGAAGCGTTTCTCTGTATCGAAGAAGGCATGAACTCGGTAAGTAAACACGCGCATTAACAAATGGATCGTATTGACTTCGCGCTGACTGAATGGGTTTCTGAGGAACGTGGCCGAGTCTGCTCATGAAAAGCTCTGCTAGAAACTTCTCTTCTGGATCAAGTGCGTGGACGTCATATTTGAATATAAATATTACCATCAACAGGAAGAGCTTGATTTGTATTTTGTGTCATAAGCAATATAAGAACAAGACTATTCTCACCGGGAATGGGAAAAGACACAGAATATCAATCATAGCAACACGGGAGTAATAAATACCCTAAAGAAACTTGTTTCTTAAAATTATAATAAACGTTTTAAAAGATCATATTTTTAAAGAGCCATGACCGGATACCGGTAGTAGTTTATATATATATATATATATATATATATACATAATAATCTACTCTCCCGTCTAGATTTAACGTATGAGGGTCAAGCAGATCAGTTTCCAGGAAACCGACAGCCCGACACCGGCACATGAGATTTGTTTATAGTGGTGAAGGCTTTGTGCAGGACCATCCACACTTTTTGAAGGGACGAATACAGAGACCTGGTGCACCGAATGCCACAAGGTTCCCAAACGACCTTCCGCAGGTTTTGAATTCAGAGTTGTCCTTCTCCTAGACCAGTTGCCATCCAAGGCTATAAAACCCAGTCTGTCCTGCTATTTTACCCATAGCTGGAGGGAGAGGATTCATACCTTTCCCAAGGCTATTAGCACGTAAGTGAATGTAATGGATTCGACTGGAATTCGAACTCGGTTCTGCGATTCCTCAATCCAAGCCGCTATCCATTACTCCACCGTGCCTCCTATATATGTATATGAAATAGACAAACTCCGACAATTATTTTTTTAGACATTTTTATGTTTATACATTCATTTTTTATAGATACAAATATTTAAGTAAATGCTCTGTTTATAATAACAACATTTACCGGCCTGAATGTCCGAGAAATTGTCATAGAAAATATGCGTCCTCCGACAGGAATCGAACCTGTATCCTATACGGAACCGGCATATAGGCTGACGTGCTTTTACCGATTTCGCCACAGAGGAGCGTTCGGTTCGCAAAAATTTAAAAACAGTAAAATCGACCTTGCTAACCGAACGGTGGGTAAATGGCTGAAGCCGAGATGCCAAGTTAGGTCCAATAATATTGCAGATTCTTCTTCGAATTTTATCAAGAATCTCTACATACATAGCGGAAGCACCAGACCAGATGTGACAATATTTTATGTATGGACGATTTGTAGAGTTATAAATACGTAAGATAGATTATGGCGAAAAAGATCAAGCACGACACAGTGATTAATTGATTTGTTCTTTTATGGCTTATCCATCTTTGCAGATCATTTAAAGCTAGAAATTATTTTCAAATCATAAGAATTTTGATTTATTAATACAAGTCTTAATAATTAACCCATAGCAGGGGGAGAAGAAGTGGATTCATATATTTTACAAGGGTATTCGCACATAAATGAATATGGTGAACCTAACTGGAATTGGAACTCGACATACCAATTTCAAATTCCGAGTTGTTAACCATTACACCACCCTCAGATCCAAGATTATAGCACCTAGTATCCTCAAGCGGTTCCCCATCTAGGTAATGACAAGTCTCGACATTGATTAACTTCGATGATTGTACAGGAACCAATGTTTCAACGTGATATGGCCATAAGCCAGCACTACAGAGTGAACTTTTCTCGAAGCAGAACTAGAAATTGATTCAATATAATCTTTCCACTTCATGTCAGCAGTTGTATTTAATATTATCACTTGTCCTAAGTAGATATATTCCTGGAATTCTTCCAGTTCTTCATCTTTAATCCTCATAATTTTTTACGAATTTTCAACCTGCATTGTGATATACATATACGAGAGACATCCGAAAAGTAACGAACAACCATTTAATAATGCAAAATGTTTATTATTTTGCATCTGCAGAAGATACCAGCATCGCTATTTTACTTTTCCATGCAGTCACAACAAGATTTATATACTTTTCTTGTCGGCTTAACAAAAACACATGAATTCCTGTGGAACCGTTTGGAACTGCTTCATGGATATGTGCTATTTGTGGGAGTATCCCTACCTCCTGATATTGTTATGGGGTCCTCCCCTTTTTCATATAAGTGGACTCGACCAGTGTTACTTGGACTGCTGACGTTAAATACCCAGAGTTAGACAGTCAGTCAGAGAGTGAGTTGAGATAGTAAGAAGACTGAGATTGTGATTGAGTTGGAGGTAGTGTAATAGTGTGAGGTAACCGCTTGTAGAAGTCAATTACAAGCACGTAGACTCTAAGGAAGTCCTACTTCGAGACTGTATATATCTCTATATGTTATTGCTACTAACCGCGTTCCTGGATTT